ATATACAAGCACGAGGAGGGGCGAATAAGGTGGACATCAATTCATGATGCCATGATGGCTGGCTGTACTGCAATGAAGTAGCACGTGCGGCCAGCAATCTCAATCCATCAAAGCACAACAAATAGGAGGGGGGGTGAACGCTTTCTCACCGCATCCAGCTCGACGATGCGAAAGGGCAAGTCGCCGGTCACCACAAGCTTCGTGATCGCCGCACGAAGCTTCAGCTTACTCAGCCTCGCTGTAACAAAGCGCTCAATGCCGCCTGCCTCACCCTTCGCGCCCGGGGTCTGCACCACCGGCAACTTGGGCCACGAGGCCACGTGTGGCCAATTCACCACCTTCCTGTCGGGAACTCCATCGTAGCCACCCTCCGGGAAAGTCTCCCCCTTAGTCAGTAGGTGTGGTCTTAGGGACCTATACTGCCAAATGTCGTGGTGCGCCGTGTGCTTCGCAACCATGTGGCGCACCCCTGGAGTCGTAGTGCCCGTCGACCAACTGATACGGGTATCGCACATCTTACACTTGCGCTTCTCATCCGCCCCCAATGGCCCGAACATCTGGACCTGCCAACCTGGGGCCTTCTTACACCCTTTCGTGGCCTTTAAAGGCCCATCATTCTCATCTACCGACGCGGCCATACCATCCTCTCCCCCCCCCTCCTCCTGAACTTCTATGCCTTTACCCTTGCCCTTTATCTTCCCGTTCCCCTTGCCTTTGGCCTTCCCCTTGGCCTTCCCCTTGGCCTTCCCCTTGGCCTTCCCCTTGGCCTTCCTCTTAGCCTTCCCCGGCTGGGACACCCCCTCCTCCTCCTCCTCCTCCTCAGCCTCCTCACCACTACCCTCTCCCTCCCCCTCCTCCACCTCCTCCTCCTCCTCCTCCTCCTCCTCCTCCTCCTCCTCCTCCTCCTCCTCCTCCTCCTCCTCCTCCTCCTCCTCCTCCTCCTCCTCCTCCTCCTCACCCTTCTCCTCCTCCTCCTCGTCGTCATCCCTCAACCGCAATCCACATCTTTCTTCGGATCATAATCCTTGTCGGTGCTATCGGATGGACTACGTTGGATGCGTGGGCGCTTCTTTTCCAGCCGCCACTCTCCAGCCAATCCCTTTGGCTTCCCCCCCCCCCCACCACCCTTGACCTTCCCCCCCCCCCCCTTCCGCATCCTCCTCGGCCTCCTCTGAAATCTCTTCGATCTCATCACGAGACTTCCCATACCGATGTGAGGGTGCAGCCAGCCCCCCGCCACTAAACCTGTAGCTTTTTGGTGACGTGGGGACTCCTAGGTATTGCCCCCCTATGAGCTCGAGAGGTGCGAGAGGGCTTGCGGTCCCAGTTGCAGTATCTAGTAGTGCGGATGGGCCAGGAATAGCCTTGTCTTGGCTGCTAACCAACCCTACATCAACCATTTCTGAATCCATCCGCCTTGCTAAACTCTTTGCTAAAACGAAATGCTCTTGATTTCTGTTTTTAAACGTTTCCTAACCTAATCTACCCTTATACTTAACGTTTCTAGCCTCAATGTGGACTTTAAACCGTGGGAGTGGTGCAGTTTAAATGGGTAGTGGGCGGAATGCTATCCTAACTGGAAATTGACGATTGAGCCCAAGAATGAGCTCAATCGTCACTTTCCCCTTTTAGATCCAACCAGCGCGTCAATTTTTGACGCGCTGGATTTCGACGAACACCTCGGTGTTCGCCCGCGAACACTAGGTGTTCGTGCATTTTTTTGCACGAACCGCAACGAACACTCGAACATGTTCGTGACGAACACCTAGGTGTTCGTCACGAACATTTTTGGGCAAAAAAAAACCCCTGTTCGGTTCGAGTCGAACACGTTCGACTCGAACCGAACAGGGGTTCGGGAATTTGCTCATGTCTAGCCCCAGCCATTATCATGGAATGGGCAAGGTAGGCTCATTCACACTTCAAAACCAAAATCAAGATTCTTCACTCTGACGGTGGCGGTGAATTCCGCAACAACACTCTCAAAGCTTTCTGCTCTACTGAGGGTATTCGTCAGACCTTCACCCTCCCAGACAGCCCTCAACAGAACGGTGTTGCTGAGAGCCGAAACCGCATCCTGGTGCAGATTGCTCGCTGCCTCCTCACTCATGCTTCCGCCCCTCCCTCTCTTTGGGGATACGCCATGCTCCATGCTGCCGCCCTCCACAATCTCCATCCTCATCCTCACCACACCCACACCACCCCCGCAGAGCTGTGGACGGGTCAAAAGCCGTCCGTCCGCCCTCTTCGTGTATGGGGGTGCACTTCCTATGTTCTCCTCAACTCCCAAGCCCGTCGTGCAGCTGGCGGCAAGCTTGCTCCGAAAACAATCACGTGCGTGTACCTCGGGCACAACTCGGACTCGCCAGACTACCTCTTCCTCCATCCTACCACCAACAAACTTTATCGCAGCCGAGATGTTTTCTTCGATGAATCCCACCCGTTCTACCCCTCCTCCACAGTTTCTCCTTCTCCTCCGCCTCCTTCTCTTACTTGGGCTGACTTTGACAGCCTTCCTCCTACCACCACTCCATCTCCTCCTCTTCCCGCTCCCTCCACGGTTTCCGACCCCCCGTCACCCGCTTCCCCTTCCAGCACCACGCAGTCTCCCCCGCTCCTTCCCGCCCCCGAGCCCATTCCTCTCAAAACCTACCAACGCCGTCCTCCTGCTGCTGCTCCTCCTCCTGATCCAGCTCCTGCTCCTGATCCAGCTGCTGTTCCTGATGCTGCCACTACACCTGCTGCTTCTCCTCCTCCAGCTCCGCCTCCCTCCCCCATTGCTGGTCGCACCCGCTCGCGCAAAGCTCCCAAGCCTCTTTCCCTTTCCATTCGTGTCTCTCTCAATCCTCCTCCTGTCGGGGGTGATTATTCGCTCATGCCCTCCCTTCTTGAGGACAGACATGAGGAGTTGATTGAGATTGACTCAGCCATACACGCACTCTGCTCCCTCTTTCCAGATATCGCAGAATCTCCCACCCTCAACTTCTCGGACAACCCCTCCATCCCCACACCTCTCACCTATGCTGAAGCAGTTTCTGGTCCTCACGCCGCTCAGTGGCTAGGGGCCATTGTCACAGAGTGTGAGGCCTTCATTCACACAGGAACTTTCACAGATGTCTCTCCTCCCTCCGGCGTCAACATTGTGAAGGGAAAATGGGTTTTCCGGGTGAAACAACTTCCAGGCGAATTTCCCGTCTTCAAAGCCCGGTACTGTGCCAAGGGATTTACCCAAAAGCATGGACTGGACTTCTTTGAGACATTCTCTCCCACCGCCAAACCTCCCACACTGCGCACCCTTCTCGATGTTGCCGCTCGAGATGACATGGAGGTTGACTGCATGGATGTGTCCTCTGCGTTTCTGCAAGGGATCCTTCGAGAGGAAATCTACATGGAGCGGCCCGAAGGATTTCCAGCTCCTTTTCCACCAGGCACTGTATGGAAGCTGAATCGACCAGTCTATGGCCTCAAGCAAGCACCCCGGGAATGGCACAACAAGCTCAAGAGCACCTTAGGGTCCCTCGACTTTCACCCATCCACCTCTGACCCCAGCCTCTTCATCCGAGCAACACCATCCCGCTTCTTCATCTTGGTTTATGTCGATGACATGATCCTTGTCACCAAGGATCAGACTGAGTTGGCAGCAGTCAAAACCGCACTTGGTGAGAAGCTGGCTATGAAGGATCTTGGGAAACTGACGAACTATTTGGGCATGGAAATCACACGTGATCGCGCGGCCCGCACCATCACCCTCTCGCAGAAGTTCTACATCAACAACGTTCTGACCAGGTTTAAGATGCAGGAAGCAGCTTCAATGCCCACCCCACTCTCTCTGCAGCACCAACTCACTGCACCCTCTGTTCCCTCACCTGAGCCCTGTGATGAGGCTTACCCCGAGCTCGTCGGTTCCCTCATGTACGCGATGATGTGCACTCGACCAGATTTGGCCTATCCAGTCAGTGTCCTGTCTCGCTACGTTGCACCTGGTCGCTTCACGAGCCACCACTGGTCTGCCGCCAAGCGGGTCCTCCGCTATCTCAAAGGCACACAGGACTATGTGCTCACTCTTGGCGGCTCTTCCCCTGTTCGCCTTGAGGGGTACAGTGACTCGTCCTATGCTGATGACCAGAGTGATCGGCACTCTTCCCAAGGATATTGCTTTACCCTTGGCAGTGGGGTTGTCAGTTGGCGCTCCACTCGGTCGTCTTCCGTCTCACTGTCGACCTGTGAGGCAGAGCTGTATGCCGGGACCATGGCTGCCCAAGAGGCCCGTTGGCTCTCCTTCTTGCTGGCAGAACTTGGGTATCCTCAACCAGCCCCAACGCTTTGGTGTGACAACGAGAGCACCATTCATCTCACAAAGGACCCCATCTTCCATGGCCGCACCAAGCACATTGAGGTCCGTCACTACTTTCTTCGTGAGCTGGTGCAGCGCGAGCAGCTGAAGGCTGAACACATTGCCTCCGACTGCAACCTTGCTGACTTGTTTACCAAGTCTCTTGTTCGCCAAGACCACTACCGCCTCCTCTCGTCCATGGGTGTTGGGCCGCCATGTGGCTGAAGTGTTGTCAGCCTAGGGGGTGTGTTAGAAATAGTCAGTCAACACTTTGTACTATATTCTATATCGGTTAGGTTAGGCTTGAGCAAGGTGGCGAACACCTGTTCGGTTCGCCTCGAACGTGTTCGAGGCGAACCGAACAGTTTTTGTTTTTCGGCTTAAATCGTTCGCCCGAACGTGTTCGATGTTCGCCCGAACACGTTCGTGTTCGTGGCGCTGCTGCAAAACGCCCCGTGTCGAACACGAACGTGTTCGAGGTTCGCCCGAACACGCCTCCACAGGCGAACAGCGAACACCTGTTTTTGGCTAAACTGTTCGCCGAACCGAACAGTGTTCGGTTCGGCAAAAGGGTGTGTTCGAGAAGGGGCGAACACGAACATGTTCGTGTTCGCCCTTTTCTCATCCCTACCTCTTGCTCATCCCTAGGGTCAGAGGCAGCAGCACTCACGGGATCGAAAGCAGCGATGTTGTACAGGAGCACGACGGTCTTGACCCAGGAGGCGGGGAAGTTGAGGTTGAAGGAGGCGACCATTGCGAGCAGTTGCACCTCGATAAGAAAGATGTCCATTGCTGCAAAGGTGTCTGCCAGCATGTTCATTGCCACCCACACTGCTAGCACTATGATCAGCAGTAAAGGGAACACCTGGGGGAAGGAGAAGGGGGGAGTGGGGAGAGGGGGGAATGCGGGGGCAGTATGGAAGAGTGAGAAGCAGCAGTTGCACCTCGATAAGAAATATGTCCTTGGCTGCAAAGGTGTCTGCCAGCATGTTCATTGCCTTGCCACCCACACGGCTAGGACTATGATCAGCAGCAGAGGGAACACCTGGGGTTGACAAGGAGGGGGAGATGGGAGGGCAGAAGGGGAGATGGTTGAGAAGCAGCAACAGTTGCTTGCACCTCGATGATGTGAAAGATGCCCTTGGCTGCAAAGGTGTCTGCCAGTTCATTGCCTTGCCACCCACACGGCCAGCACTATGATCAGCAACAGGGGAAACACCTAGGGTTGGAATGGGGACGAGTTGGAGAGAGGAGTTGCACAGGCTGTGGACAACAAATGGCAAAAGCTGTGAACCTCACTTATGTGTGTTCCTTGAATTTGGTGCACGTGTCGGTGTTCAAATCACGTTGAAACCCTAAATGCTAAACTTCAAACCCCTTGAGAGTTGAGTTGAGACTCACTGATTTGAGTGCAGATGTGCATTGCTCGCAGAACTGCAGCACGAGGTAGTAGCCGTCGGCACATGAGGAGCACATGCTGCATGCAGCACAGCACGCACATGCACGAAACACACAAGAGAGGGAGGTCAGAAAGACATAAATTAAGTGCTTGTGTGACTGCAGGACTGCAAAAAACCTGCAGCACGAGGTAGTAGCCGTCTGTACACGAGGAGCACATGCTGCATGCAGCACAGCACAGGAGAGCACACACACATCAAATGAAACAACACACACAGCACACATGCACGCACACACGACACACAAGAGAGGCAGCTCAGTAAGATGTAATGATGGTGCGTGTCAAGTTAAAGCTCGAGTATACATTTGTCAATGGGGTTCAAGGTTTTACAGTGTGCCTCATGGTTCTGCCACGAAGTTCAAGTTCCTATGCTCATAATGGAAGAGCTGCAATTCTAAAGAGTAGCGCAAAATGCACCTCGCCTCACGGTTCTGCCACGAAGTTCAAGTTCCTAAGGATTTTGAGCCCCAACCTTTCAAATGTATACTGAAGCTTTAAGAGCAAGTAGATAGCAGCAAGCTCCGATGCCAACTATGAAAAAGAACTATAGATTTAATCTAAGTTAGGCAAGCGCATGTACGTTTAGGTAACAGCAGTACTATTACCGCAGCATCGCAGCAGGAGCTAGTCACCATCCGCACATGAGGATGAGAGGGGGACGGTACCCCAGCAGAGGATGAGGATACCTACCCCATACGGCACACTTCGTGTTGTTGGGCCCAGAATAGGTGGTGTCATGTGGGTCTGCAGCGCAATCTACCAACTTTACCCTCATGGTAATGGTGTTTGTTGTAATAGTACATTACACTTTCATGGAGCAGCCTACCCTTCTTTGCACTCCAGTTTTAACCCCCACAGCTCGATCCCAACACTACCCCAGGCAGGCACCCAGGGCACGGTGTTATTATATCCCACAGCACACCGCGTGGTGTTGGGGCCTGTGTAGGTGGTGCCAGAGCAGCCTACCCTTCATTGCAATCACTACCCCCCACCACTCCCACTACCACAGCACTCACGGCATGGTGTTGTTATATCCCACAGCACACCGTGTGGTGTTGGGGCCTGTGTAGGTGGTGCCATGTGTGTGGGTGGTGCCGGAGCAACTTACCCTTGACTTGATTGCATCGTTGCCCCCACCACTCGCACTACCCCATGCAGGCACTCACGGCATGGTGTTGCTATATCCCACAGCACACTGTGTGGTGTTGGGGCCTGTGTAGGTGGTGCTAGAGCAGCCATTGGTGAGCAGGCAGGCATAGGTGGTGGGAGTGGAGTTGAGAGACGCTGGGTCCAGCCAGTTCTGGTACTGGATCTGCAGGGGAGGAGCGAGAGTCAGGAAAATGAGGAGTGGGAAAGGGGAGAGGAAGGGAGGTTGTTGGAGCAGCCGTTGGTGAGAAGACAGGCGTAGGTGATGGTTGTGCTGGTGAGCGACGCTGGGTCCAGCCAGCTCTGGTACTGGATCTGAGGGAAAAGCGAGTGGGTGGATGGTATGAGGAGCGGGAAAAGGCAGAGGTAAGTGAGGGTGGAGAGGATAGGGAGGTTGAAAACAGGTTGAAGCAGCCGTTGGTGAGCAGGCAGGCAGGCAGGCAGGCAGGCAGGCAGGCAGGCAGGCAGGCAGGCAGGCAGGCAGGCAGGCAGGCAGGCAGGCAGGCAGGCAGGCAGGCAGGCAGGCAGGCAGGCAGGCAGGCAGGCAGGCAGGCAGGCAGGCAGGCAGGCAGGCAGGCAGGCAGGCAGGCAGGCAGGCAGGCAGGCAGGCAGGCAGGCAGGCAGGCAGGCAGGCAGGCAGGCAGGCAGGCAGGCAGGCAGGTAGGCAGACAGGCAGGTATAGGTGGTGTGGTGGGCGTGGAGGTGAGCGATGCTATACTGGGTCCAGCCAGAACATCAGTTCTGGTGTTCAATCTGCAAGAAGGAAGATATTTGAGTCGACTCAAAAATCGACTCATCACAGATGGGGAGGGGAGGGTGACAAGGAACAGTTGAATTGACGGGAGAAACAAGAAGTTGGTGAGCAGAGCAGACAGACATCGCATAAGTGGACATGCATAGGTGCTGGGTTGAGCCAGTTTCAGCATTCGACTTGGGAGAGGCGGATGGGCAGGGAGTGGGGAGGGTGGAAAGGCAAGGGACGTAGAACGCAGCAGAGAGAAGACTTCAAAATGAGCAGGAAGTTGGATTCGCGCAGCCATTTGTGCGACTTGGTGCGACTTTTGAGAATGGTGGTGGGCGCAGCCATCTCAAAAGTCGCACGCAGGCACAGGTGGTGGGCATGCTGCGCTTGTATCGCTTTTGGGAATTCACAAAAGTGACACAACAAGGCAGCCATACGTAGTGGGCTGGGCGTGCTGCTGCTGCGCGTGATGCGCCCTGTGCTGAAAGACGAAGAAGCGTTCTTCGGCCTGGTTCTGTTCATTTCACCACAGCGTGCACTCGCCCTGTGCGTTTCAACTCGCCCTGTACATATTCGAGTCAATGCAAAAATGCATTCGCTCTGTGGCAACACTCCAGCCTGTCGTCTTGACACGGCGTGCACTGCTCTTGCGCGCCCATAGAGTGACTCACGCGATTGCCCATGCGCTCGCCCTGTGACTCACTGCAGCATAGAGTACTCTCAAACAAGCCTTTGTACACACCTCCAGCGTGCCATAGCGGCGGCAGTTCCAGCTATCGTCATCACACGGCGTGCACTGCTCCTGCGTATAACAACATGTCTCACACGACACAATCATAACACACTCAAACACCCCCCCCCCCGCACACGCACCTCCAGCGTGCCATAGCGGCAGTCCAAGCTGTCATCATCACATGGTGTGCACTCATCCTGTGACACAGCATTGGGGTAGAAGGTGAAGGTGCCGTCTGGACATGTCTCCATGCCCTGCCCTGGCGCACACCTGGGAGGTGGAAGGGTAAGGGAAGGGGTAATGGGAGGGGAAGAGGGACTTAGAGTGATGGGAGGGAGCCAAGAAGCAGCGTTGGGGTAGAAGGTGAAGGTGCCGGCTGGACACGTCTCCATGCCCTGCCCTGGCGCACACCTGAACAAGGTGAGACACAGGGGAGTGGGTGCGGGGGGAAGGGTGGGGGGAGGTAAGAGTGATAGGGAAGGAGGGAATGGAAGAGGGGGGGGGGGGGGGAGCAGATTGGGAGACCGGCTGGGATGCATTGTTCGCACTACTCGCTGCTTGAGGAACCCCAAAAAACAGTGAGTCGTTGTGGGTAACCCATATAAGTGCTACCAAAACACCAATAAAAAGCCTCTTGCACTGCATGCAGGCAAAAGACAAGTAACCCACCAATGACCAACAGGGCAGTCCTGGCAGCTGAAGCTCTCCCCGTCGAAATACTGCCCGGCCGGGCAGAAGGAAATGTTGAATGGGTGGGAGAAGTCCGGGAAGGCGTTGGTGGTGGAGGAGACGGTGACGGTGAGTGCTATCGGCTGTAGCGCGCCGCCCGGGGACACGCGGACGGCAATGGGCGGCACTGTGATGATGCCGCCCTGCGATGTGCCCCGTAGGGAACCGCTGATGCGACTGTCGGGAGAGACGCTGGCTAGGGCCGAGTTGTCCTGGTGGGGTGGATGGGTGGGGGAGGGGAAAGGGGGGAGTGACGGGTTGGTTGCGGTGAGTGGAGGGAATGCCCTGTAGCTCCCCGCTGATGTGGTTGTCTGGGAAGACACCACCGCCCGCAACACCACCACCACCTGCAAGAAAACATCCTTCTTACCTTAGAGAGACGCTGCTTCCAAATCTGTCCACCACCACCACCTGCAGCAACATCTATATGTAGCAGCTCACACCAATAAATCAGATCTAAGATAACCCAATCCTTACCTTAGAGACAATGTTGCCAAACTCGTCCACCATCACTCCTGCTGCTCTATGGCCCTTTGGCGCATCAACTCCTTACATGGCAGCCCACTCACGGCAAGCCAATGAATCAAATCTTGACCAGGGCACTCCTTACTTTAGAGCCACCTGACCAGAGCCCCGTCAGCATAGAGCCCACTGACCAGAGCCCACAAATTCCACAGAGCCCACCACTGAAGCATTTGATTCGACTCGCAAGTCACCCATTCTCCCAGTCGCTAACCTTGGAGACAATGTTGCCAAACTCGTCCACCACCACCACCTGCAGCCCCGTCAGCATGGAGCCCACTGACCCCACCACTGAGAAGCTGCCACCTGTCTCCTGGGATGACGCTGCCGCCCCCGGCCATCTGGAAAAGGGGTGACACGGTGGCAGTGGCGTGGGGCAGTAACGGGTGAAGAGAAATGAGGGGAGGAGGAAGGAAGGGGAGAGGGGGGGGGATGGGTGGCCATCTGAAAGAGGGAGGTGGCACGTCAGCAACACCCAAGCTTCAAGTGGGGGGAGGGGAGGAGGGGGAAGGGGGGGTTGGTTCATCTGGAAGAGGGGTGACAGGGTGACACGTCAGCAGCATCGAAGCAGGAATTGGGGAGACGGGGCCTGCGTGTCCCCTTGCTGCAGGATCTGGCAGGTAGCAATACACAGGGAGGGAGCCTTAAGAACAAGAAGCTACCTCCTCCTGTACTCTTTATAAACGCACTCACTTGAGATAGAAGTCCGCCGGCATGCTGCCCTGCGTGTCCCCCTGCTGCCGCATCTGGCAGGCGTGGCAGGCGGAGCGCAGGTGGGGGCTATAGGAAGCATCGAAGAAGGCCACTCCATGTGCGTCCATGGCACTGTTGCCGTCAAACAGCAGGCCTTGCAGTCGCATGTGATTGGTGGAGAAAGAGGAGGAGGAGGTGGTGGTACTGGTGGAGGTGCCATTTGGGGTGAAAGCAGCAGCAGATGTTGCTGTTCTCACACCACTGCCTCGGCTGCTGCTACTGCTGCTGCCACCACTACCGCTGCCTCTGTCTCTGCTACTACTGGCCAGCGCGATCCGCCCTCTAGCTCTCTTACCCCGACCAGAAGCAGAAGCAGAAGCACCAGCCTGAGGAGGCCTATCACCACCAACTGCTGCAGCAGTAGTAGCAGCAGCGGAGCGCATCAGGTACACCCCTGCACCGCCCACCACCGCATAGTTCCCCTCAAACCTCGACCCTGATATCTCCCCCTCCACCTGCTCCAGTACAGCCACTCCTCCTCCCGCCTTAGTCGCGTTATTCTTAATAAACACAGACTCTCCCATGGTGAAAGCGGTGGCGCCTGCTAGGGCAACCCCTGCGCCGATCTGCGCGATGTTCCTCGTGAAATCCGAGCCGTTGATTGTGAGGTACGGGCTGCCTTCGGTGCTCACCGCGCCGCCCAGCGCCGCCCAGTTCCCGGAAAATCTGCACGAGTGGACGGCGACTGTCGTCTTATCCCCAACCAGCACCGCGCCGCCCCGCCCGGCCGCGTTAGAATTCCCCGTAAAGCTGCAGTTCTGAAGAACCCCCTGGGAAAACCCCTGGAATAAAATCCCCGAAAAGGTGTTGTTGTCAAACGCAGAATCAGCTGCTGTGACCCTCGCCTCTGCCTCTACAACCATAGCCCCTCCGTGTAGCGCGGAGTTCCCTCGAAACACGCTCCCGCCTCGCACTTCCACCCGGGACACGTGCGTCGCATACACCGTCCCGCCCAGATACCTCGCCTCGTTCCCTTCGAGCCTGGAGTTGTTTGAGATGAGCAGAGAGGCACCCATTTCCACCCAGACGGCTCCGCCCCAGGCAGCAGTGTTGTGGAGGATGGAGGAGGAGAGGATGGAGAGGTGCGCGCTGCCACTGACACGTGCTGCCCCGCCCTCGCTGGTGCCATGGTTGGCTGAAAGGACCGAGTCAGTGACTGTGGCGTGCGCGTTGGCGAGCAGAGAGAGGCACGCACCTCCTGTTAAGGCGCTGTGGTTGGGATGTTCCAGGGGAAGAAACAGAGGAGGAAGCAGGGGGGGGAAACAGAGGAGGAAAACAGGGGAGGGTTGTGAGTCAGTCAGTGCGTAGCACAGCGCTGCCCACCCAGACGGCACCGCCCCAGGCCGCGGTGTTGTGGGAGACGGAGGAGGAGAGGAGGGAGAGGTGCGCGCTGCCGCTGACACGCGCTGCTCCCCCCTCGCTGGTGTCCTGGTTGGCTGAAAGGACGGAATCCACGACTGTGGCGTGGGCATTGGCAAGGAGAGAGGCGCAAGCTCCACCTGTTCTGTTGTTGGTTGCATGTGAGGATGAGAGAGGAGGAATAACAGAGGAGCTTTCAGTATGGATAACAATTATCTGTTTTGTGCCTTCTCACATGCAACCGTCCCATCTCACACTCATTACCATGTCATCTCACTCACACTGACTGCCATCTAATCTTACATTCCCATGCCATCTTGTCTCTCACATCACATGTCCCCGTGTCATCTCACTCACATGTCCATGTCCCCATGTCATTTCATCTCACTCACATGTTCCCTTGGCAGCGTGTGCGGGTCATCTCAACCCGTGAGAATTCCTGCACGAGCACAGCACCGCCCAGCCCGGTGCTGTTGTTTTCCTCCACCTCACACGCGTGCACGCGCGTGTGCATGCCCAACCCCGTGTAGATAGCACCTCCCCCAAGTACCGCCTCATTGCGCACGAAGCGGCAGGACTTGAAAAGGGCTTCGGTTGGCAGGCCGTCACTGCTGGATGCATAGACTGGAACGGGGGAGGAGGGGAGAGAGGGGAATGTATGGGAAAGTTTCGAGACGTCTCAAAAAACTCGAAGCGGCATGCTTTGAAGAGAGCTTCTGTAGGCAGGCCCTCGCTGCTGGATGCATAGACTGCATGGGGGAGGAGGGGAGAGAGGCATAGACTGGAACTCGAAGCGGCATAGACTGCATGGGGGAGGAGGTGAAGGGAAGGGAGAGAGGCAGAGAACGAACCATGTGTAGATAGCACCTCCCCCAAGCACCGCCTCGTTGCACACGAAGCGGCAGGATGCATAAACTGGAAGGTGGGAAAAGGGGTTGTCTGTGAAATGTGGAGAAGGAAAGAGCACGGGCCGAAACGAGATCAGACTCTCGAGTCGCCTGTCTATCATCAATCTTGCTCACTCACTGACCATACATCCTTGGCATGTATTCACTCAAGTGTCGTCACATGGTGCCGTGCATCCACTCACCAGCCACCGCGCCTCCCTGTAGTGCCGCCGTGTTCCCGTCCAGAGTGACATTATCAAACGTGACAGACACCGACTCGCTGTACAGGGCGCCTCCCTTGGACTGCCCTGCCCTGTTGCCCACGAATGTGCTGCTCTCCACCCTCACCGCCCCCGTGCCCTGCAGGGTTGAGGTGAGGGAGTGGGAGTGGAGGGTTGAGCATTGAGGCATCCCCGGGGCAAGACTTGCTGTACAGGGCGCCTCCCTTGGACCTCTCCGCCCTGTTGCCCACGAATGTGCTGCTCTCTGCCCGCACCGCCACCGCTCTCTACCCGCACCGCCCCCGTGCCCTGCAGGGGCGAGGGAGTGGGTGAAAGTGAGTGCAGACGCGTGGGAGTGCAGAAATGAACATTGAGACATCTTGAGACTCGCTGTACAGGGCGTTTCACTTGGATCGCTCTGCCCTGCTTCTCACGAATGTGCTGCTCTCCACCTTCACCGCCCCCGTGCCCTGCAGGTGAGTGGGAGTGTAGTAAAGGGATGAACACTGAGACGTGGTAAGACTCGCTGTACAGGGCACCTCCCTTTGACTTCTCTGCCCTGTTGCTCCCACTTCAACTGCTCTCCACCTTCACCGCCCCCGTGCCCTGCAGGTGAGTGGGAGTGTGTGAAAGTGAGCGCAAATGCGTCCAAGTGAAGACTGATGCATCTCAGGAGTGCAAGAGAGCGTGCAGGAGTGCAAGAAGCCACCGAGATCGCTATTACAGTAGGCTGAGTATTATAGATCGCTACTCTTAGTAGGCTTGCTGCGATTCGAAACCAACTAATCTCAACCGCAAGGGAGCATGCAGGTATGCAAGCAAGAAGCCACCGAGTCTCCTTGGAAGCGAGATGGAGAGGAGAGGCACTCGCACGGCATGAAGTGCTGATAGCCCGAGGCTCACCTACGTACAACCCTCAACTCACCTCACACATTTTTTAGTCGACTCAAAAAGGGGAGAGGTGTTCGCACGGCATGAAGTGTTGATAGCCCGAGCATGTGAATTAGCCTGATAGCCTCTCTTACGTGCAACCCTCAACTCACCTCACACACGTTAACAACAATCACAACAACTCACCCCGAGCACGTGAATAGCCCCGCCATTCCCCTTGACCACCGAGTCTCCTTGGAAGCGCGAGCGGGAGGGCTTATGAGACGTCTTACAAGAGGGAGAGGAAGACACTGTTTAACTGCACTCTCAGCCATATGATTAGGCGAGCAGCAGTCTAAAAGAATTCTTTAGCAAAGGATTAACAGTACGAACTGTTGTATTTCCTGCTAAAAACAAGGAGTTTCAAGAAATCCTTATGAGACGTCTTGCAAGAGGGAGAGGAAGACACTGTTTAACTGCACTCTCAACTCACGAATCGCCTCTTGCTTCATACCTACCAACTCCCAACTCACCCCGAGCACGTAAATAGCCCCGCCGTTCTGCTTGAGCACGGAGTTTCCTTGGAAGCGCGAGCGGGAGACATTGAGGGTTTTGTAAGGCAGGAAGTGCAGCGCTCCGCCCTGGTCTTGTGCTTTATTGTCCACAAACGTGCAGTTGTCTATGACCGTTTGTGCTCGCGATGTCACTGCGTGTAGGGGCGCGAGGGGGAGGGGCGTGGACAAGGAAGGGGTGTGCAGCGCATGTATGTCTTGAGTCAACTCAACGTGCAGCAGGATTGTAGCTCAATGGCACCACCCAGGTAGCATTCGGAGTGGTCTCCGCTGCGGAGGAAGAGACAGTTGAGCACTCTCTCGCTAGTACCAGCGGGGAGGGAGAGAGGAGTTGGGTGGTGAGTGACCAGCCCCTCACTCAACACAAGGAGACCACAAGGACTGTAACTTACTAGCACCACCCCAGCATCACTACCCAGGACCCCTCACTAGCAACACACTGGCAGGGGAGTGGGACTCACTAGCACCACCCAGGGAGCATTCGGAGTGGTCTCCGTTGCGGAGGAAGAGACAGTTGAGCACTCACTCGCTACCAACACTAGCACGGAGGTGACTCACTAGTACCAGCGGGGAGGGAGAGAGGAGTTGGGTGGTGAGTGACCAGCCCCTCACTCAACACAAGGAGACCAGAAGGACTGTAACTTACTAGCACCACCCCAGCATCACTACCCAGGACCCCTCACTAGCAACACACTGGCAGGGGAGTGGGACTCACTAGCACCACCCAGGGAGCATTCGGAGTGGTCTCCGTTGCGGAGGAAGAGGCAGTTGAGCACTTGCAGATGCCCCGTGTCCGCGTACAGAGCCCCGCCTTGCCCGCCCTGCATGGCAGCAGGAACAGGGAAGCAAAGGGGAGGAGAGGGGATAGAAAGAGGCAGTTGAAAACTTGCAGATGCCCCGTGTCCGCATACAATGCCCCGCCTTGCCTGCCCTGCGTGGAGTGGGAAACAATACAGAAAGAGAGGGAGTAGTGTGAATACAAAAGGCAAGGCAAAGAGGAGGAGAAGGCAGTTGAGCACTTGCAGATGCCCCGTGTCCATATACAATGCCCCGCCTTGCCCGCCCTGAGTGGAGTGGGAAACAGTAGAGAAAGAGAGGGAGGAAAGAGGCGGAAGAGGCAGTTGAGCACTAGTTGAGCACTTACAGATGCCCCATGTCCGCATACAGAGACTGTTGAGCCCCGCCTGTTGAGCAGATGCCTCGTATCCCTAAAAAAGGTGCCGCCTCGCCCATCCTGAGTGGAGAGGTGTGGCAAATCTGTTTTTGAGTTGACTCACAAACAAAGAGCAACGGGGAACAAATAGGCAGGTGAGCAGTTGCAGTCGCAGATGCCTCGTATCCACAAACAAGGTGCCACCTTGCCCATCCTGAGTAGAGCGGTGGAGATCCGAACAGTGCGCTGATAAAGGCCTTCATTGGCCGAACCCAACAAATCTCAGATGCCTCGTATGCACAAACAGGGCGGCGCCCTTGCCCATATTGATTAGAGTGGTGTGGCAAATGAGGGAAGGAGCGGGAGCAGTGGAAAATGCATGCTCACAGGCCCACAAGCCTACACGTCCGCATGCCCGCACGCCCACATGTTATATGCTCTCTCTCACCACCCACCTGGTTCTCTACGAATGTGCAGTCAATGACGTCATAAGCCACCATAGCGTCCTCACACGCACACACACACCCCCCATGCCCACACGCTGGTCTCTCTTTCTCCCACCTGGTTCTCAACGAAGGTGCAGTCGATGATGTCATAAGGCACTGTAGCGTCCATGAACATGTTCGCAGCGATGGCGCCGCCCTGAGAGAGGTACGTGGCTGCCTGCGACCCCGGAGGCAGCGTGTTGATAGCCACGTAGCTCCGCTCCACGCGCATGGGCACGCCGAAGGAGAGAACTGCACCCTCTGGTGATGGCACGAGGCTGTTGATTGAACACACTCCCCTTTAGTGCAACGCCTCATAAACTAACGGCTCACCTGGTTTTCAATGAACGTGCAGTCAATGATGTCATAAGGCACAGAAGCGTCCATGAACATGTTCGCAGCGATGGCGCCGCCCTGAGTGAGGTACGTGGCTGCCTGCGACCCTGGAGGCAGCGAGTTGACAGCCACGTTGCGCCAGAAGTAGCTCCTCTCCACGCACATCGGCACCACCCCAACCAAACAAGAGAAAAGCACCCTGCTTCCCGTTCCTTGCAGTGCTTCAGCCTCATAGGAAACCAACTCACCTGGTTCTCAACAAACGTGCAGTCGATGATGTCATAAGGCACTGTAGCGTCCATGAACATATTGGCAGCAATAGCCCCGCCCTGAGTGAGGTACGTGGTTGCCTGCGACCCCGGAGGCAGCATGTTGATAGCCACGTTGCGCCAGAAGTAGCTCCTCTCCACGCGCATCGGCACGCCGAAGGAGAGGATTGCGGCACCGAAGCTGGGCCCGTTGGTGACCCGATTGCTGCGGAACGTGCAGTCTGTGAAGTTCGCCTGGCCGCTCATCATCACTAGCTCTATGCCCCCTCCCTGTTGGCACAGGGGGAGGAAGCAGAGAAGAATAGAGGAGCAGAACGAGAAGAGAGGAGACGAGAGGGGTAGAGAGGAGGAGATTAGAAGGGAAAGAAGGCGTTGTGCATTGGGAGGGCTGATTGTAGAGAGAGCCACGCAGAAGGAGAGAATGGCGGCGCCAAAGCTGGGTCCGTTGGTGACCCAGTTGCTGCGGAACGAGCAGTCGGTGAAGTCCGCCGGGCCGCTCATCATCACTAGCTCTATGCCCCCTCCCTGTTGGCATGTGGTGGGGGGAGGGAGCAAAGGAAGCCTCATCCAGCCAGCCCACCGTATTAAACACCTCACAACCCATCCAACTGACCTGAATGAGAGCCTCGTTGAACTCAAACGTGGTGTTGTGAAACTGCGGCTTCACTTCCCCTTGAAAGAATGACACCGCGCCACCGGTGAGAGGGGAGGAGCAGTGGGCGAAGCGGCAGTGAGCAAAGGAGGCATCATTCAACCAGCCCACTCATCTAAACACCTCCAACCCAAGTTAACTCAACCCAACCCAACCCAACCCAACCAGCTCAACCCACCTGAATGAGAGCCTCGTTGAACTCAAACGTGGTGTTGTGAAACTGCTCTTTCACTTCCCCTTGAAACACCGACACGCCACCCCCAGTGAGAGGGGAGGAGCAGTGGGCGAAGCGGCAGTGAGCAGAGGAGGCATCATTCAACCAGCCCAATCACCTCAACACCTCATACCTATCCAACCCAAGCCAACCCAAGCCAACTCAACCCACCTGAATGAGAGCCTCATTGAACTCAAACGTGGTGTTGTGAAACTGCGGCTTCACTTCCCCTTGAAACGCCGACACGCCACCCCCGGCGAGAGGGGAGGAGCAGTGGGCGAAGCGGCAGTGAGCAAAGAAGGCATCATTCAACCAGCCCACCCAGCTAAACACCTCATATCCATCCAACCCAAGCCAACCCAAGCCAACTCAACCCACCTGAATGAGAGCCTCGTTGAACTCAAGCATGGTGTTACGAAACTGTGGCTGCACTTCCGCTTGAAACACCGACACGGCACGGCGACACCCACCCCCGGTGATAGGAGGCATCATCGAGAGCCCACCCAACTGAACACCTAACAACCCATCCAACCGACCTGGATGAGAGCCTCGTTGAACTCGAACGTGGTGTTGTGAAACTGCGGCTTTACTTCCCCTTGAAAGAATGACACCCCGCCACCGGTGAGAGTGGAGGAGCAGTGGGCGAAGCGGCAGTGAGCAAAGGAGGCGGCAGCAGTGGTGTTGAGGTGCATGCATCCGCCCGCGCCCGACATGAAATCGACCGGCTGGTAGACCACGGAAGAGTGGAGGAAGGCCGTGTAAGATACGTTGAACGTGGACATGTAATCGGAAATTGCCCCGCCACTTGACGACTGGTGGTGGGGAGGGGAGGAAGGGGAGGGGAGAGGGAGGATATAACCAGCCACTAATGAGAGCGGAGGGGCAGTGGGCGAATCGACGCCGGCAGTGAGCAAAGGAGGCCAGCAGTGGTGTTGAGGTGCACGCACCCCCCCACGCCCGACATGAAATCGGCGGGTTGATAGGCCACTGAGGAGTGGAGGAAGGCCGTGTAAGATACGTTGAACGTGGACATGTAGTCGGATATTGCCCCGCCACTTGACGACTGGTCGTGGAGGGGAGAGGAGTGGAGAAAAGACGTGTAAGATACGTTGAACGTGGACATGTAGTCGGATATTGCCCCGCCACTTGATGACTGGTCGTGGAGGGGAGAGGAGTGGAGAAAAGACGTGTAAGATACGTTGAACGTGGACATGTAGTCGGAAATTGCCCCGCCACTTGATGACTGGTCGTGGAGGGGAGAGGAGTGGAGAAAAGACGTGTAAGATACGTTGAACGTGGACATGTAGTCGGAAATTGCCCGTTCGACGACTGTTGTGGGGCGGGGAGGGGAGAGGGAGGGAGAGGAGCAGGGGATGGATGGGGAGATAGTTAATGATCCAGCGAGCAGCCTAAACTGCTCCTAAACTGCTCCTAAACTGCTCCTAAACTGCTCCTAAACTGCTCCTAAACTGCTCCTAAACTGCTCCTAAACTGCTCCGAAACTGCTGCTCGCTGGAACATGTCTACTGATCTGTTGACATGCTCCAGCCTGCGACCCCAAGATAGACTTATGATGACTTGGCCAGCGAACATGCTTAAAGCATGACGCAAGCAAAGCTGATACCCCCTTTTTTTCGCGTACCAAGCAGCCTCGGAACGAGGAGAAGCGAATCGAAACATTCGATGCCTCACTCGCCATGCACCCTCCCCTCCCCACCACCTCCCCTCCCCCTTCCATCCCCGACACCCATCCATCCGTCGTCCCACCACCACCACTACCCCCATTTGCAGCAGGACTAGCATCCGCCCGAGTGTAACAGTCCTCTATTCTCGCCTCGCTTAGAAGCAAACTTGATTCAAGCACAAAGAGGGCCCCGCCTCTCGCTGTAATTTCTCCGAGTGCGCTACAGCCGGAGATGTCTAGGCCGGTGGCAGTAGCTGTAGTGTGGTAGAGAGCCAATCCCCCCCCGGTGCGTCGGATAGGGGCATTAGCTGCTACATCAGCGCCTGGTGCTGCTGCCTCTGCTGCTGATGTTGCCGTTGCTATTGCTGCTGCTGCGGTTGCAGCTTTCGCTGCTGATTTCACCGCTGCGACTCTTGCTGCGACCACAGCCATTGCTGCTGCTGATCTTGCTGCTGCTGCTGCGGCTGCTGACCTGGCTGCATTTCCCTCTGCTGATCCCTTTGCTGCTGCAGTGGCTGGGGTTGCTTCTGCTGATCCCTTTGCAGCTGCAGTGGCTGGGGTTGCTTCTAATGGAGATGCAGAAAACCAGTCAGAACATGGTTCAGACGATGCTAGAAAATTGGCGGATGAACGAAACGAAGAGGCGGTCTTGTTCAATGGAGGTGCGAGCAAGGAGACTGAGCAGTTTTGGATGGTGACATGGCGCAGTGTGACTGGCTGTGGTGCGCTGCTGATGTGGATGCCGCCTCCTGACTCAGAGGCATGGCAGTTGGAGAGGGTGATATCGCTGGTGGGGTAAGTGGAGGCCGGGGGGGAGTTGGAAACGGAGGTGGAAGGGTTGGGTAAAAGGAGGGGGGGAGGGAGGGGAATGGGAGGCATGGCAGTTAAAGAGGGTGACGTCTCTGGTGGGGTATGGGGGGAGGGAAGTGGGGGGGAGTGGAGGACGGGGGAAAAGAAGGGGAGGAAAAAGGGGAGGGGAGGGCAAAGGGTGGAAGGGCTGGGATAAGGGGATACGCGGGGTGCAGTGCTCTCCCCACAGCTGCCCGCTTGCTCGTCTCACCTCAGTGCCCCGATGACCCTGTAAAAGAGCATAGCCGTCCTTGCCATTGCTCAACACATCACACACACACACACACACACACAGCTGCCCTGCCCCCTATCTCACCTCCTCACCAGGTGACGGCACCATTCTTAACATCACCTCAGCGAGTGGCAGGGCAGGCGCGTCTCACCTCAACGCCACGGTGATTCCTTGGAAGAGCATGCAGCTGGCCTTGCTGTTGCTCCGCTGCAGCAGCACCTCCTCATGAACTGCAGGCCACTTCCACACCACAGCCAGCTCTACAATACATGCTGCCCTTTATCTCACCTCAGTGCCTTGTCGCACTATTAAGCTTGGCTACGAGCCATAGCTGAACTAGTGCAGCAGCAAGGGTAAGTTTGTTGTGTTTGCTTTTACTTGCTTTCGTTTCACTGTGTACTATACTGTACTGTGCTTGCTATTTCGTTTTGGGAGAGAGTTGTTGGGCAGATTCCGAGGGGGTTGGTGTGCCCAAGGCGCGAGGGAATTGGGAGGAGAAACCCGATGCATGCGGTGCGGAGTTGGATGGCGGTGGGAAAGCTGGATTCCAGCTAGCTCGTAGGTAGCCAGCTAGCACCCTGGGAGTGCGCTGAAGAGGTTTCTTCGCGCACCAGGAGCCAGAAGGCCATGCTAGGAGGTAGCTAGGATAGATCTGGATGGGGTCTGATTGTTTGCTTGCTTTTTGCTTGTTTGAAGGACGCTGGTTCTGGGATGCATGGACACTGAAGGGGAAGAAGGGGAGGAGATGGAACCTGGGACAAGGAAGGGGGAAGGCAGAGAGCAGAGAAGGGAAGATGCGACGGGAGGAGAGAGAGAAAGCAGGGAAGAGCAAGAAGAGCGCAAGGGTGGAACAGAGGATGTGGTCACGACAGCCTCACCAATCATGCCGCACCCCTGCCTGCCCTCGCATCGCATATTGCCTCAGTGCCACTGTGTGACCCCTTGGAAGAGCATGCAGCCGCCCTTGCCATTGCTCCGCCCAATCACCACCTGCAACTGAGAGATGGTTATGAGAAAGCCGTTGCTGCTGCTCGTGCATTGCACTCCATGCTACAGCACACTCACACAGCACACTCACACAGCCCGCTCACACAGCCCGCTCACACAGCCCGCTCACACAGCACGCTCACACAGCACGCACAGCTGCCCTCACATCTCACCTCAACCCTACAGTGACCCCTTGGAAGACCATGCAGCCGCCCTTGCTCTTGCTCCGCCCATTCACCACCTGCAGCCGCAAGATGGTTATCAGAGAGCTGCTGCATGCTGCTGCTGCTCTTGCTTTGCGCTCCACACCACTGTAAGCTCACATAAACCACAGCACCCCTCTCATCTCACCTCAGTGCCACGGTGACCCCTTGAAAGAGCATGCAGCCCCCCTTGCTCTTGCCGCGCCCGTTCACCACCTGCAGCCGCGAGATGGTTACCAGAGAGCTGCTGCATGCTGCCTCCCCACGCACTGGCACCACTGCCGCCCCCGCCGCCGCTGCTGCTGCTACTGCTGCTGATGCTTCTGCTGCTGGTTCTGCTGCTACAGACGTCGCTACAGCATCACCAGTGCCAGCAGCACCCGATGGGTCAGCCGCAGCCAAATGGGAGGGCGGAGACGAAGTACCGGGGCAGAGCGCTTGGAAGCAGGGGCCATGGGAGCAGTCAATAGTGGCAGGGGGGAGGTGGAGGGGCGGGCCGAGGATGGAGAGGCGGAGGTGGGGCAGGAGGAGAGGCAACGGGGAGGAATGCGTGTAGGTGCCTGATGCAATGTGGATGGTGGCTCCTTCTGAAGCGCTGTTGAGTGGGGAGGTGGGGGGGAAAGGGGGAGAGGAGGTGAATACGGTTCAAGGGAGTTTAAGGTGAGTGTTTGTGGGTGCCTGAAGCGATGTGGATGGTGGCTCCCTCCAAGGCGATGGGAGGGGGGGAGGGGGGGGTGGGGTGGGGTCGGGGGATCGACACAGAAGCACATCACATTCGCTCTCGCAGTTGGGATCTTGGGATGATTTTGCAGGGATTGTTTGAGAACTCTCAATAAATCCCTGCAACGCCGGGGATCGACACAGAAGCACATTCGCATTCGCAGTTGGGATCTTGGGATGATTTGACGTGGAGTGGAGTGGAGTAAAGTGGTTGGAGTGGAGTGGGGTGGAGTGGAGTGAAGTGGTTGGGGTGGAGTGGGGTGGAGTGGAGTGAAGTGGAGTGGAGTGGAGTGGGGGGGTCGACAAAGAAGCACATCACATTCGCTCTCGCAGTTGGGATGTTGGGACGATTTTATGTGGAGCAGAGTGGAGTAGAGTGGAGTAAAGTGGTTGGAGTGGAGTGGGGTGGAGTGGAGTGAAGTGGAGTGGAGTGGAGTGGAGTGGGGTGGAGTGTGGAGTGAAGTGGAGTGCAGTGGGTTGGGGTGGAGTGGAATGGGAATCGAAGGTGTACCTGTTCAGGGCGGCTTGCAGGGACCCTGTGTGGTGGACGTGGGAGGGGAGGGATGGAGGGATAAGAGAGCGAGGGGAGAAAAAGCAGTGGGAGAGGTTTGCGTTGCCGTTGGGTTGCCACGAGAGAGGCGTGAAGGTGATTGGAACGAAGGATTTTAATGAGGAAGGATATATTTGCGAAGCAACGCTAGAGCTCACATAAAGAAAGTGGGCTGGTCTTCTTTAAAAGCCTCACCTCTCAGTGAGGCAGCAACTTGTCGATCATTACCTTTGAGGAATAATCTCAAAAAAAAACTCAAAGATTTCTCAGGGGGCTGACGTTAGCTCTTATACAACCTCACTCACAGGGTGAGACAGCTAGCGCCAGCCAGCCATTGCCTGGGTTTAGGCTCACCACACCACACCACACGGCTGGCTGGCTGTTGACTTTGAGCCGACTAAGAAGTCACAACGAGCGTCGGTCATTGCCTGGGCTTAAGCTCACTCCACTCACCGCATGGCTGCTGGGTGCTCTGGCCGCAGCAGGGTGTGAGGAGGCCCCCCTGGGCCACATAGACAGTGGTGGCGGGCTTGGTACAGGTGGTAGTACCTGGGGTG